TGACTACAGGAAGCCCCAGGCAGAGTTGCTCTGCCCCGGGCTTCCTGGAATCAGCTGCTGATCAGTTTCAGCAGCAGCTGACTTGGGGACGCCTGGGGTTCTTAAGTTGATTCTGTATGTAAGTCAGAACTGGCGGTCAGTTTCAGCAGCGGCTGAATCTGGAAGCCAGTTCCGACTTACATACAAATTCAACTTAAGAACAAACCTACAGTCCCTATCTTGTACGTAACCCGGGGACTGCCTGTATTGCGAGTTTTTGAAGTTGTTGTTTAGAGAGAGAATCTTGCACCAATTAGGTTACTTTTTGTAGTTGACAAGGATTGTAGAATTGGTGAAGTGCCTCAGTCCAAATACTTGTGGCTGCAATTTTATGTGAGTTAATCTAGGATTCCATAAACTCATATAGTAAACAAACCTGAAGGGAAATTGTGGGTCTGCAGGACTTTGTTCGAAAATTTTATACCAAAATATAGGGAATTTCTGTGGCAATGTGATACCTGAATTACAAAGAAAAAACTTCATCTTGTGCTAAGAACAAATTTTTTAACACATCATAAAACCTTTTACTAAGTTTGAGTGTTCGGGGGGGAAAGCAGAGCAAGATGCCCCTGTTTTGTTTCCCCGACTGTTGCGTTGCTCTGCTTCTCACTAGAGTGTGCAGGGCGATCCCATCATATCTCCCAGAGCAGGATGGCCGGGAGAGCAAATTAGGAGGCTCAACTTGCTCTACTTCTCCTCCTCCCTCCGTCCCCGCTGCTGGTGAGTGTGGGGGGGCCGGACTCCTGCTGCAGGCACCAGCTCCCCCACAAGTTCCCCCATTGGCTGCTGGCCAGCCCCTTCCCCTCCCGGGCTCTGGGGGGGATGTAAAATTTAATTTAGCTTAATATTTAAACTTCCTTCATTACAATGGTATCTGCATCCATATGATCTCTCTCTGGTCCCTTTATTTGTCCACATCACAACAACCTGACTGACTTTAAAGGAGTCGGTGATCTCTGCTGAAGATGGAGGAGAGACAAGGACTGAAGGAACTAAATCATTGTAGGTTCTGACTGTCACAACAATAATGATCCAGCCATAACAGTGTACCAAATGTATCTCTTCAAATTATGGTGCTATGAACCATAAGTGCCTACATTCTGAATAAACTTTTTTGAGAGGCACCTAGAAACCTATTGGTGTCATGTTGGCATCCATTAACTGATATAAAAGAATGGCATAAGCCGTGGTATGGGATGGGTTCTTCAGATCTGTGTCCCCGACTAATTTGTGACCAAAAAATCGGAATAATTGTACAACTGATTTGTCTAAAGCCACATTGAAGCTTAAAATATAAATCATGTGATTATGCAGTTACAGTATGGAAGAGTAAGAGACATTTTTTTGGTTTGAAGCAGAATGAGCTGCTTCCACTTACTTCTCTCTTTTTAAATTCCTCATTCACTAGTCAAGCCTAAGGGGGCAACAGGATTGGTTAGTGAACAATTTCTCTTTGAGCGAGAGAGAGAGAAATGCCATTGGCAATGGGAAGCTGCTGCTTTGCAGATCAGAGCTGCTGGTTAGTTGTCTTTGAAGCTACTGTGCAGTGATCTTTCCTTTAAACTTGAAAGTATTGTCACTTAGAGATGTCAGAGTAATTTGGCAAATTGTCAGTGGGTATAAAGGATAACTTGAGCTGGAAAACAGCCATCCATTTAAATAATCAGCTGGATATTGGAGAGATTCCCTGAGTTTAACGGACTAAAGATTTCTCTTGTCATTTATATAGTAACTTTCCTAAAGATGTATTATAAAATACTTGCTTGAATAAAGGCTTGATTTTAATATAAGCAGCCTAATGTATTTTTTTCTTTAGTACCTTGCCCCAGAAGTGATCAGAAAACAGCCTTATGACAACACAGTAGACTGGTGGTGCCTTGGTGCGGTTCTGTATGAAATGCTTTATGGTTTGGTAAGCATTCTTTTTCCTTTAAAACGCTTCATAGTGTTCAAGTAGTTAATAATATGTAACTTTTCAAAACAGTTAAAGCACACTTTAAACGGTTGAATAACTTAAGTAACTTTTGAACTTACCATTTGGGTTTGTCTCCTGAAGTTTGTTTTTCTTTTTGATGTCTAAAATTCTGAGACATGAATAACTCTTAACCAGTGGAGACAAGAAGACTGTATACAGGAAAAAATGCAGCAGTCTATTGAAGCAGCAGTGGTGCTGCCCAATAAAAGTAATGTACTACCAGACAAAAGTGGTACTAAAGACTTTCACAAAGCATTTTAACCCTAACGTTTCCAATCTCCCCCAGATTACTACTTAATACAGCAGTAAAAAAACCAAATCTTTCCACACTTCAGCTAGGGTTTATTTTTTTTGTAACTTGCTAAAAGCAGAAGCATTGTGTTTTACAAACTCTGCATTCCTTCCTTGCATGCCCACAAGTTTCCTTACTTTCACCTGAGAAGACATGAAGAACATTGTTCACCCACCCATGCTCTTTTGCTCACATTCAATAGGATTTTTAAATATGTCTAGCTTCTTCAGCTACTAGTGAATGTGAGAGCATGTGGGTAGAGAACAGGAGATGCAGGAAAGAGCTAAAAGAGGAATGCAGTCCTCGTGTTCTTGCCTGCATTGTGCAAGAGTAAACAAGTTGATTCATTCATGAAGAAGTATGTTTGAAGTGGGAATTCCAGTTAAACAATTAAATGTCTATCTTTTCTATCAGATCAGTTTTCAGTATTGGTCATTGGCATTTCTGTTGGCACAGTTTGCTCTTGCATCTCAATATTTTTATTGAACAGTACTGTTTCAAAGCCACATTTTATTTTTGTTCAGCCTCCATTTTACTGCCGTGATGTTGCTGAGATGTATGAAAATATTCTTCACAAACCTCTTTATGTGCGCCCAGGAGTCAGTCTTACAGCCTGGTCTATTCTGGAAGAACTCTTGGAGAAAGACAGGCAAAACAGACTTGGAGCAAGAGAAGACTTTGTATGTAATTTCCTGTCAGTAACTAAATCAGGAACTAACTTATTAAAGGAACATTTAAGCCCACAATTCAGTTTGACAAAATTATTTGTAAGAAATGGGTACAGAAAGTCCTTTGAATGCTAAATATCAACTTTAAAACAAAATATCTTGATTGTCTTACAATGATTTGAGGTTCACTGCTGCAGTACCTGCCAGCAAAGGAAATCTATTTCCTAACATACTTCCTGGGCTGTGGTCATATAATTGATGATGCTAGTACTTGTACAGGGAAGTTAGCACAAAAATAACTAAATTCTGGAAAATTCAGCTTCAACAGAGGAAAAAGGCACAAACAATTCTTTTTTTCATGCTTTTAGAATGGCTTTACAAATCATGGTTATGATTTAGCAAACTTCTGTCAAAATCTTTGATACTGTTCCCTTGCGTAAAGATGCATAGAGAAGTTGTCATATAATTGTGCAGGCGGGATAGCAAATGATCTTGCAGCTTTACCCCCTATTGATGTCTATAGGCATAGTCTTACTATGCACAACAAAAAGCAACCTTTTGGGGCTGCTGGGCGCCCGGGGGCGGGGCCTTTCACGCCCCAGGCACCCAGGGGCGGGACTGCACATGCACCACATGCCCGGTGCTGGCGCCACCCATACGCCGCACTCCCGGGGCCAGCGCCACTCCTGTGCCTCATGCCCAAGGGCGGAGCCACCAGTACACCATGCGCCTGGGGCTGACACCACTCCTGTGCTGCGTGTCCAGGGGCAGGGTCGCCCACACGCCGCATGCCCAGGGCCGGAACAGCCCATGCGCTGCATGCCCGGGGCCGGCGCTGCTCCTGTGCCGTGTGCCCAGGGGTGGGGAATCCCATACGCTGGTCTCCCGGGGCCGGCACAGCCCATGCACCGCGCACCGAGGGGCAGGGCTGCCCATGTGCTGCACGCCCGGGGCTAACACCCGGGGGTGGGGCCGGCCCTGATCAGTCAGCAGGCACACAGATATGGCCCAGCGGGCACCATGGCGCCCGCGGGCACTGCGTTGGGGACCACTGTGTTAGGGTGTGTCTAGACTACAGGGTTTTGTCGACAAAAGGACTTTTGTTGACATAACTATACCTGCGTGTACACTACCACCGAGTTCTGTGGACATCGACAGAACTCGGCAGCTTTGTCAACAGTATCTGTCGACAAAGCTTCTGTTGACAAAAGCCTGTAGTCTAGACGTACCCTTTGATTGTTCCAGTACAGTTAGATTTTTTTTTTTTTGTTGCAGTTAATGAAAGGCAGTTTATGCTTGTAAGAACATAACTGTTCTACTACAGACATAAACAGAAAACCTACTGTGAAATTTCTGGAGGCGTTTAATCTGAAATAGTGTTCATATTATCAATTTATGTTAGCTAGGAGCAGGAACATGAACATAAATACAACTTGAAAACCCTTCTGGAAACCAGGTTTTCCTTAGCCATTGATTTAAGCAGAAAATAAAATGTATTGGCCAGCCAATTTTAGTCACACACCTCCTTCTACAAATTACAAAACTAATCAAATAATGGGCCTGACCTTTTTTTATTTCTGCCTTTCTACTTCACCAAATCATAGAAGATTAGGGTTGGAAGAGATCTCAGGAGGTCATGAACCCCCTGCTCAAAGTAGGACAAATCTCAACTAAATCATTCCAGCCAGGGCTTTGTCAAACGTGGCCTTAAAAACCTCTAAGGATGGATTTCCGTCTCCTCCCTAGACAACCTATTCCAGTGTTTCACTAGTTGAAGTATGGTTTTCCTAATATTCAACCTAGACCTCTCACACTGCAACATGAGGCCATTGCTTCTCGTTGTCACCTGCTACCACTAATAGCCTACCTCCGTCCTCTTTGGAAATCCCATTCAAGTAGCTAAAAACTGCTATCAAATCCCTCGCTCCCCCCCCCTCTTCTTTCATTGCCCTCTACTCTCTCCAATTTGTCCACATTCTTTTGGTAATGTATGGGGGAGGAGAACCAAGAAACACTTTCACTTTAGCATGCTGGAAGGATCTCTGAAACATTGTATTCTAATGCTGTAGGTATATCATGGAAATAACATTTATCTGTGCTCTCTGTTATAGCTTGAAATTCAGAGGCATCCTTTCTTTGAATCTCTCAACTGGACTGATCTTCTCCAAAAGAAGATTCCACCACCATTTAATCCTAATGTGGTAGGTGCAATAAGTCCAGTTATATTAATCTCCCAAATCTCTTCATGTCTTGGGGCAGAAACTATGGGGTGAGAATATTTATCTAAATGTTGCAGAGAATGGCAACACCAACATCTGTCAGACAGTGTTGGTCACCATTTCTGAACTGCATAGAGCAGTGGGATTGAAATTAGAAGAGCTAGAAAGTCATTGAATGAGTCCACAGTATGCCATCCTGACATTGCATTATGCTTGTGTTAGTGTTGCCTCAGAATATGATAAAGTTGTTCTTTCATGACTTTCATGTCATGTCACAGTGCAGTATTCTGACCCTGTTCCTTGCTTTACATATCTATTTAAGACCCTCCTCCTTGCTGATCTTCCACTCTCCACTCTTGGCTACTGGGAAAGGGAGATCTTTCTTTTACCGTATATTTCCAACTGTTTGGCTTCTGCCCAGTAGGCTTCATGAATTGTTTGTACTTGGGCCGTGAGGGTAGCATTGCTCTGTGTTGCATTCTTTAAATTTGAGGCCTCAATAATAAGTGCAAAAGGTACTGTTTTGTCTAATTATTGTCATATTGCAGTTGCTGCTTTATTGTAGTAAGGTAGCAGTCTACTGGCAGAATTGCCACTAGTGGAATCAGTGTTTCTCCATTACTAAGCTGATTCCAGGACAGCTGCCATTTGACATATAGTTAGGTGAGCACAAATTCAGTGTTTAATAAAAAAAAAATTAAAAAAACCACACTCCACAACCCTAGTACATTACACAGGTTTCTAAAGGGAAGTGGGTGCAGGAATAGAGAATGGGGAGAAAACCAGGAAAATGAGTGGAGGATGGGGAGTGGTGTGTTTTTTTTTTTGTTTTTTTTTTAAAGGAGAATGCATGCATGGGAAGGAAGCAGAAGAGAAGATTTAAAGACTACAGATTTATTTGGGCATAAGCTTTCATGGGTAAAAACCACTTCATCAGATGCATTGGAGTGGAAATTTCAGAGGCGTGTGTGTATGGATACATGGATTTAGAGAGATAGATGTACTAGTATATCAAAAGGAGGGGTTACTTGTCTGTACTTGTATAGGACCAGAGTTTGAGGCCAGTTCAGTCAGGGTTGATGTGACTTACTACCAGTAGCTGATGGGGAGGTGTAAATACTAAGAGGTAAAGTATCTTTAGAATGGTTCTCTCATTACAACTCCTTATTCAGTCCTAATTTGATGGTGTTAAAGTAATGAGATAACCATTCTAACTCCTTATTCAGTCCTAATTTGATGGTGTTAAATTTGCATATGAGTTGCAGCCCTGCTGTTTCTCTTTTGTAGTCTGGTTTTGAAGGTTTGTGTCTCTGTTTCCCTTTGCAAGGTGGTTTTGAAGTGTTTTTGTAGAAGGATGGCTACTTTTAAACCCATTACTGAGTGTCCAGGAAGGGTCAAGTGTTTTCCTACTGTTTTTTGTATGTTACCTTTCTTGATGTCTGATTTTGTGTCTATTTATTCTTTAGCACAGAGACTGTGCAGTTTGGCTAACATGATCAAATTAGGACCAAATAAGAATTTAAGGATTTAGAATGGTTCTCACTACAAAGACAATTTCACCAGTATTTGATATTCACACTTCCCCATCAGCTGTGGGGAAGAAGTCACATCCACCCTGACTGAATTGGCCTCATTAACACAGGTCCTATGCTTGAGCTCTTTGTGTGTGCGTGCCTGATGAAAAAGCTTATGTCCAAATAAATCCCTTAGTCTTCGAGGTGCCATGGGACAACTCATTGTTTTTGCACATACAGACTAACATGAATACCCCTCTGAGTCTTGATTTTTTTTTTTTTAATCTCTTTCCATCCTCTCTGTATAAAGCTGTTTTGTCTTCAGTACCTGTTTTCTGGGGCAGAATAATGGGATTTACTTCACGGTTGTCCTTATGAAAGGGAGAATTTCATAATGTTAGATAACTTTGAATTTGAGTAAAAGAAAAAATATTTAATAGAGAAAAGCATTTAAAAATACAAATGCCATATGAATATAACTAATGATGGTTTGTGTGTCTCATTCCTAGGCTGGCCCTGATGATATAAGGAATTTTGATGCCGCTTTTACAGAAGAAATGGTTCCTTATTCAGTTTGCATTTCCTCTGATTATAACATTGTAAATGCCAGCGTGCTTGAAGCAGATGATGCATTTGTTGGCTTTTCTTATGCACCACCTTCTGAAGACTTGTTTTCCTAGGAAGTTGTGAGCCAACGTATGCTACACAAGTACAAGTGGGAAGATGAACTGAAACATGAGTGTGAACATAGTCCAGACTATGTGTAACTAGTGCCTCATTTTATATGTAAAGTTGAAACCGATCAACAAACCTTTTCTGCTGTATATGAGGAAATTGGGCATTTCAGATGGCATTCTTTGAAATGTAAGCTGTTCCTGCTGCATAACAGTATTTTTAAAATGAAGATCCTTAAAAGCTGTTCCTTTCCATTAATCTGTTTTTAAACAAACACAGACTGTTTTTTCTCCGGGTTTACATTAATACCTATCCAGGATTTTTCAGCAACAGCAAACTTAGCACATTTATAAATGCCTTTGTAACTATTTACAGTGACTTTGTGCTTGAGTTGTAACTATGCAATTGTCTTTTGTATATCATTGTTTAAAATAGATAAATGATTCCCTGTTATATCACCTTTTGAAATACAAGTCCATTACTTTACAGCACTTACTTTCAAATTTAATTTCTCATTTAAGAATAAGTAGAGATACTCGAAGGATCTGAAAACTGAAAAGTTGCTCATTTAGGACCAGATTCCCATCCCGACTCAGCTTCATGATACCTTATTTCTGAAGTACTCTCAATTTCCACTGGATTATTTGAGAAATAAAGTACTAAAAGTGAGTAAAAGTAGCACAAACCAGCCCAAAATATTTGGTAACACTAAAATTGCATTGTCTATAGCTTTTCTGATTGAGAAACTTCAGTAGATATTTCTTCCTCTCAACTGCACTAAATTTTTTTGCATTAAAATTGTATTTTTCCAAAGAATTAGAGAGCAATAATCATTTCTACTTTTAAAGGCTGTCTTGCTGGGGCCCTATAAAGAAAGGGCCCCAAAAGCAAGGGTTATTTAATCTGATTTCTTGTGTGTATCTAATACAATTCATTTAAAATATCAACATTCATAGTTTCTTGTCTTTCTATATTCTAATGTATCAGCTCTTGAATCTTCACTAGAAAGGAAAATAACTACCTTTTTTTACTTTTAAGAATGTGAAGAGATTGTACATAGTGTGTAACTCTTGTGACATACACACATAACCAAAATGCTAATAACATTGATCAACTTGTTTAGGTTCTTTTAAATACCATACATCCTAAAAGTTGGCTGCAGTTTTAATGCCACTTATAGCAGTATTATACCTGTGATTCATTTTGCTTGTAAATAATAGGTTTGTCTGCCACTTCATGAGAGTGGGTGCATTGGCGCATGCATGCTTTTTACAATACTTTAACTAGATCGCCATGAAAACTTAACTCCTTGAAGGAAATTAAAAAATAAAAAACCAACCACTAGCAACTGCTTAAAGCAGGGATACTCAACACTGTTTGTTTGTGGCCCACAGTGCAGTTTGGATTGATACGTGTTTTAGTAGTTAAATTTCTGGACTGTTGTGAAGCCAAAGCAACAAAGTAGTCAACGTGTGATGGTCTTCTGTTGATGTGTGTTTTAGTAGTTAAATTCCTGGACTGTCGTTGCTCATTAAAAGTGCTGTCATATAGGTGGAAATCGGGTAAATATTGCATTTTATTAATATCAGCAGAACTGACTTAAATGGGGACTGCATGTTGTGTAGTCTTGCCTTAATTTTTGTATTCTTGCCCGTCTGTGTGAAAGAAGCTATTTGCATCTATATTTGCATGTATATGCAACCACATTTAAGTTGCGGCTGTCAGTACATGCTGGCATCATTGTGGCCCCCAGGGCTTCCAAAGTTGAGTAGCCCTGACTTAAAGTATTGACGTTTCTCTGACGACAATGCAACTTGTGTCATAGCTAACAAAACTAAAACCTAAGCAAGACAAACATTCATCTATAGACTCATCTTGTTACCCTGATCTTCACAATGGATTCTATTCTACTGTAAGTAGCATTCCTAATAGGATACCTGTAAATAAAAATAATATAGCTAGAATGATGCATCAATTGAAGATTTTCAAGTCAGAGCAAAGTGAATTTCTCACTTTAAGCAATAATCCTCTGTATGTCCCCTGTGCAGTGATTTGTCAATTCTTCAGCACTGCATCGGTGTCAAGTTGTTTGCTCATGTGTTCTGTTAGCTAAAGTACAGTAATTCCTTATTTTACACGTGCCTGCTTAACACATTTTCATGATAGCACGATTTTTGGGGAGGGAACATTTTTTGAATTACATGACCATCAGGAGCGGCCCAAGGCTGGCTGTGGCAACTGGCGCCCCAGGCGGGTGGCGTAATCACTGCCCCCGACTGCTCAGCCATCAATGGCCGTGACGTCATTATCGGGCGCCCCGGGCAGGGGTGCTCTAGGCAACTGCCTAGTTCGCCTAGGCTCACGGGCTACCCCTGACAACCTTCCCCAGAATAACACGATTTCCCCAGCCAGCCCATTGCCAGTGGCTGCACAGGGCTTACCCTGCCTCCCTGCAAAGCGGAGGCGGGTTTGCCACTCGCCACGCTGTTCCCCCCCCCCCCCTCACTGGACGCCTTGCCCCCCCTCCTCCACTCCCGCTTGCAGGCCGGGGGCTGAGGGCACGTTTTTTGAATTACATGACCATCCCCAGAATAACATGATTTCCCCAGCCAGCCCATTGCCTGTGGCTGTGTGGGGCTTCCCTTGCCTCCCTGCAAAGCGGTGGAGTGTTTGCCGCTCGCTGCGCCGTTCCCCGGAGACCCCTTTCCCCCTTTGCTGGGCGCAGTGTGGGTCCCAGCAGACCTGTCACAGGGGCATACTCCCAACCCAATCCCCCTCCCCTTCACTTCTCCAGAGCCAAACACCTCCCATCCCTGCTGTAACTCAGTCCCCTTTCTCCCCCAACAGCCACCACCACTAGAAACGCAACCCCCACCTTTTCCATTATTTTCAATGGGAAAATTGGCCCTGCATAACAAGTTTTCACTTAAAATGATCATTTTCTGAAACACATCTATAGTGTTAAATGAGGAATTAATGTAGTAATCAAAGGAGAGAGAACTGACGAGCCATTCTTCTGATTGTAGCCTCCGCTGTCCTCTTTTCAATAAAATGTTTTCCGGGAGGTGTTAGCTTTAAAGAGTCTCTCATTGTCTATTTTTATCAAACCTTCTCATGTTAAATGGATTGTGATATCACTGCTTTATTAAGAGGACGTGTCAGTTTAAGGACTTTAAAGAAAAGTGAAATGTCAAAAATTATATAGCCCTTCACTTCAGCCTTAAAAGGAAAATTTGTAGTTGTAGAACGGGAGTCTGTAATATCCATCATGTATAGCTGAACCCAGTGGTAAATCTTTCTTGTTTTTGCACCTCTTTCTTACACAATAAGACAAAAGCTACTCTCCCTCTCTTCCCCGCCCCCCCATGCTAAGATGTCTTCATAGCTTTTAAAACTAACATATACTGAGTAAAAGTGTAATACCCCAAATTAAGTACAAAGTCTTATGAAATAACAAGCTTTAGCAAAACATACAAATCATCATAAAGTACAAAGTCCTATGAAATAAGCTTTAGCAAAACATACAAATCATCATGCATTCCTTATTGTAGCTTGAATGCTGCCTTCCTAACTTGCAAGAAGTTTTCATTGATTAACAATCTGAATTTCAAACATACCTGACGACAGAACGTGGACACTCTTTTCTAGGGCCAATTGCATCTTAGTGTATGGGTTTTGGGGGTGTTTTGTTGCTGTTTTGGTTGGTTGGTTTGGTTGATAGTTTTATAAGACTAAACATGGGGCGCGGGGGGCAGGAGGAAGAAGGGTCCACTTGGTTGTTGTAGCTTGCTGTTCAATATCCTAGATAAACAAGGTGCCCATATATCCTGTTTTTAAAGGAACAGTCCCATAATAAAGCCCTCCTGCTGGTGTCCCTGTTTTTTTAAAAAAGGGTCAGTTGTCCCATATTTTCTGCCTTTCCCTTCCTATCAGTACTCATGGGTCCTGCTGCTGGCTGGCTGATCATCAGTGGTAAGTGATGAGGGGATTTGGGGGAAAGGTGTCCAGTGGCTGCTGATAGGGTGCAAAGCTGGTGGTTGGCAAGCCCCTACACAGGAATTTCTGTGGGGGTAGGGATGTTAAATATTGGTTAATTGAATAGTTGATTAACCTCATGAATTCCTATCGCTTAGTGGACTATTCTATAGTCCCCAGGAGGTACTGTAGCTATTGCACTCACTGTATCCAAGGCAGCAGTGTGGGTGCCAGGCAGGAGTTGGTTAAAACTCATGGTCTGGCTGTCTGTTGCTCTGTTCCTGCCTCTGATACAGAGGCAGCAGTGCAGAGTGGCAGCAGCCCCTGTTTAGGGGGGATCTGAGCTCCCAGCCATGGTGCAAGCTAGAACTAGGGTTGCCAGATGGTTTCAAAAAAATAGCCTCCCCCCCTCAAAAAAAAAAAAGGTCCTGGGAGTTAAGCAAAGAAATAGAACAGCAAAACAGTGTGGCCCCTTTAAAAACCATGCGGTGAGGCTCCAGAGCACCCCCCACGCAAAGGCATAACACCCTTTTCACACAGTGCCCCCACCTTAGGTCCTGGTTGTGGGGCTGCTCTGGCTAGGGCCAGACTAGGGGTGCCTGATGGCAGCTGTAAGGGGTGTGTCGAGTCTCTTATAGCTGCCATTAGGCGCAGCGCACCCAGCTCCCGCAGCGCCCTCCGCCCCCATCCCCATGGTGCTGTCCAGCAGTGTCCTTCCCCCACAGCTGGGGGGGCCTTGCAGGGCCAGGTGCAGCCTGCCCCAGGCTGCGCAACAGCAGCGCGGTCTGAGCTGGGCAGCACGTGCGCCCCAGGGGCGCCAAAATGGCTCAGGCAGGCCCTGGCTCTGTCCCCTGTGCATCTCCCCTATTGAGCTACCTCTCTGGCCAGGTTAGCTGAAGTCCCTGGAAAGATGATTATTTTAGAGCTTAACCCTTCCTTGCCTGCACTTTAGCCGGGGAACATGCGGTAGCTTGGAGATGTTAGCTGCCTTTTTACACTGTGCAGGCAGGGAGGGACACGTTGCTGCCACCCACAGAGGACTGGGGGACAAGGAGGGAAGAGAGGGCCTGTTGAGTACACAGGTCAGGGCATCCCTAACTTCACCCCACCCCACACCTG